GATCGGGGAAAGGGAAGTGGGGGGGGTCCCAACCCCTCCCCCCCTTTGGGACATCCAGCGGCGCGCCGTCCCACTTACACGATACTCACTGCTGCAGTATTCACACCTGCGTAGAGGTGGATCTTTCGCCCGGTTTTTTATACGTTTATTTGCCTTCAATTTCTGGCGTGGTTGCTGGAATGTATCGGTCGCAGGATGGCCAGTGCTACTTCAAGTTCATGTTGGCCATTAACATTTTAGGTCTCGTCCTGCTCGTCGTTGTGCTGGCGCTGGTGGCGTGGACGATTAACATAGGCGCCATCTTGTGGTGCTGCCCATGCTTGCATGGAGATTGTCAGTTGGCCATGGTTTGAGTCGATCATGCAGCGAATTGCTTGCGTACTGATTGGCCGAGGCTAGAGGTCGGGCAGTACCTGATTTTCGATACGTTGCGTACACCAGACTGCGCGATGGTGGAAGTTTCGACGCATGGAAGTGCCTACATTCGAATATGAGGTTTAGTGTATCCGTCGTCGTCCACATGCTGTCATCGGTCATGCTGTCGATACTGAAGCATTGCCAGCATGGGTGTTGCCTTACGTACTTGGACAAATGCTCCTTACATCGTGTCGTATCGACGAGTGTGCAGTAGCAAGCAATGTTGTCATTGGGTTGTGCCATGTTGATAACCAGTCCCCTGCAGCTGCGGGTGGGAAAGATGGTGCAACAAGTTTTGTGCGACCCCTGCGCGTGGCCTCCCAGCGTGGCCCCCCAGCGTGGCACCCCTGTGTGGGCCCTAAGCGTGGCCTCCCATCGTGGCCCCCCGCACATGGGCCCCAAGCCTGGCCTCCAAGCGTGGTTTCCAGAGATACGACTGTCGGACAGACGAACGCGCGCATTAACAAAGGAAACCCGCTCGGGCACTTTGGTATAGTAGGACTTTCGCACTTCGAGAGGTTCCGCTGCCCGACTGAACTGGTGTGCACGCACGTGGTGTGCTTCTAGTACGGTTTCTCTTCCTCGCCTGTATGTGTTGAAGCTCATCCTCTTCTCTCCCCTTTCCCACTTCCCCCTGCCCCTTTCCCCTTTCTCCTGCCCGTTCCGCCTTGCCCCTTCCCTTCCCTCTCACGCCTCCTTCTTCCCTCCTCCTTCCCCTCCTCCTTCCCCTCCTCCTTCCCCTCCTCCCCCTTCCCCTCCCCCTCACCCTCCTTCCCCTCCTTCCCCTCCTCTCCTTGCCTCGTCCTCGTCGTCGTCGTCGTCGTCGTCGTCGTTCTCAGACTCCTCCTGCTCCTTCTCCTCGTCCTCGTCCTCTTCCCCTTCTCTCTTCCGCCTCCCTTGCTTCCCCTGCCACCCTTTCTCGTCCTCGTCAGCGTCATCGTCGTCGCCCCCCTCCTACACCTCCTGGTGGTACTCCTCGTTGCTTCAGTCATGCTTGCCATCATGGATCACAAGCAGTGAGCTCTTGAACCCTGGACGCGTCTGCTATGTGATGCAAGCTATGGGGTGCAACGACTTGGGGATAGCGATGTGCCTTAAGCTATGTGGTGCAAGCGCTATCCTGTGCAAACTATGTGGTGTAATAGTTTTGGTGCCACCTATGCTGTTCAAGCTATGTGGTGCAAGCTTCGCCTTTAAAATTCTTTACGCTTCGCGTATCCCCACCAGCCCATCTCACAGCAGCAACTCTTGCGAAACATGCCGACAGTCGTGTTTTTCAGGCGTGTGTCCGCTTGGCCCCGCAGATCTCCCCTGTTCCTCCTTCCTCCCGCCTCCTTGTACATCCTCCTTGTGGGGGGAGCGGGAGAAGGACGAGGCGGAGGAGGAGGGAGAGAAAGCGCTCCTCGTGATTTGAGTCGTTTGGGGTTTCTCGTCCTGGTGTGAGTCGTTCGGGCCCTTCTTCCTGGTGTGAGTCGTTCGGGCTCTTCGTGGTGTGAGTCGTTCGGGCTCTTCGTCCTGGTGTGAGTCGTTCGGGCTTCTCGTGGTGTGAGTTGTTCGGGCCCCTCGTCCTGGTGTGAGTCGTTCGGGCCCCTCCTCCTGGTGTGACTCGTTCGGGCTCCTCGTGGTGTGAGTCGTTCGGGGCCCGCGTCGTGGTGTGAGTCGTTCGGGCTCCTCGTGGTGTGAGTCGTTCGGGCGCCTCGTCCTGGTGTGAGTCGTTCGGGCCCCTCCTTGTGGTGTGAGTCGTTCGGGCTCTTCGTGGTGTGAGTCGTTCGGGCCCCTCGTCCTGGTGTGAGTCGTTCGGGCTCCTCGTGGGGCCTCTTGGGGGCCTCTTGGGGCCTTGGGGCCTCTTGGGGGCCTCTTGGGGGCCTCTTGGGGGCCTCTTTCTTGGGGCCTCTTGGGGGCCTCTTGGGGGCCTCTTGGGGGCCTCTTGGGGCCTCTTGGGGGCATCTTGGGGGCCTCTTGGAGGCCTCTTGGGAGCCTCCTGGGGGCCTCTTGGGGCCATCTTGGGGCCTCTTGCGACCTCCTCAGGAGCGCAAATGAGCGCTGCCCCTGGAGAAGGACAACATGAGCCCAAAACCTTCGTAAAATCAATGGTTTTGCTATGAGGGAAGATGAGCGCGGCCCCCTCAGGAGGCCAAAATGGGGCCAACACCGTAGTAAAATCAATGTTTTTGGCTTCAAAGACGAGCTGAGGGGCCAAACTCCCTCCCCCCGTCGGGGCCAGAATCCTCGTGAGGGTAGTCGTTTTTTGGCCCTCCCAGGAGTCGAAAAAGAACCCCCTGCCACCACTCGGGACTCCCTCTCCAGGTCCAGGGGTAGGGGGTAGGGGGAGGGGTAAACCCCTCCCCGAAGGGGAAGAAAGGGGTTGAGAACAGAGAGGGCTCTCTAAACCATTCACGCCCAAAGGACTGGTGGGACTATGTGATGCAATCAGCGTAGTGCCATGTTTCATTCACTGATGGGTTGCCAACTGCATCTTTCTCGAAAACACACTACCCTCCCGCACGCAGCTTGATTTGGACAACCGATGCGGCCGCGATTGCGGTGACTTTGGCGCTGGCTAGCGCATCGCTGCGGCTGCACTGGCGACGGGAATTTCCAAACGCGTCTCAAAGCCCGCTCTGGCGCGCGAGCACCTCATGGTGGGTCGGGGATTCGGGCGTTCGTGATATCATGATAGCACCAGCAACGGCGGCAACGATTATGATAGTAACGATGGTGGTGGCGATAATAGAAAGAGCGTGTTCTACCGCTGCTGGCGGAAAATCGGGGGGGGGGTCACTACCGGTTCGAACCCCTCCCCCCCCCCCCTCCGGAAAACCGGGGGGGGTCATTACCGGTTCGAACCCCTCCCCCCCCCCCCCAGCTCATAATGAAAAGGGGGGGGGGGTCACTACCGGTTCGAACCCCTTCCCCCCCCCCCTCGAAAACCGGGGGGGGTCACTACCGGTTCGAACCCCCCCCCCCTCGAAAACCGAGTGGGGGTGCGGACAGTGGTGGGTACGGTGTTGGTGGGGACAGTGGTGAGGGGATAGCGGGACAGTGGTGGGGACAGTGGGACAGTGGGACAGTGGTGGGGACGGTAGTGGTGGGGACAGTGGTGGGGACAATGGTGGGAACAGGGGGGGACAGTGGACAGTGGTGGTGACGGTGGTGGTGGGGACAGTGGTGTGGGGACAATGGGAATGAGGTGGAAACAGTGGGACAGTGGAGGGTACAATGGTGGTGGGGACAGTGGTGAAGGCGGTGGCGAGGACGGCGGTGGGACAATGGGACAAAGGTACAGTGGGGACACTGGTGGGGACAGTGGGGACAGTGGTGGGAACAGTGGGACAGCTCAGTGGGACAGCGGAGGAGTCAGTGGGACAGTGGGGACAGTGGGGATAGTCGGGCAGTGGTTGGGGCCGTGGAGACAGTGGGGAGAGTGGAACCGTGGTGGGAACAGTTCTGGGGACAGCGGGGACAGTGCGACAGTGGTGGGGCCACTGGTGGGGACAGTAGGGGCGGTGGTGGAACCAGTGGGGACAGCGGTGGTGAGGACAGTGGTGCTGGGAACACCAGTGGGGGATGTGATGCGGACGGTGGTGGGGACCGGGAGTCGTTTGCTGGCGGTGAGTAGGGGGGGGGGGGGGCGTTCGAACCGGTAGTGACCCCCTCCGGTTTTCCGGATCCGAAGGGTAAGGGAGGGGGGGGGGGAGGGGTTCGAACCGGTAGTGGCCCCCCTCGGTTTTCCGGATCCGGAGGGGGGGGGGGGGGGGGGTTCGAACCGGTAGTGACCCCCCCCGGTTTTCGAGCGGGAGGGGGGGTGGGGGGGAGGGGTTAGGGGAGGGGGGGGGTTGCCGGGGGAGGGGGGGGGGGAGGGCTTCCAGCAGGGGGGGGGGATTTTCGGAGGGGGGGGGGGGCGACCCCCGGGCTCCGGAGGAAAAGGTTGGCAATTTTCCACAGTAAAGCGGCGGTGGATCACGCTCTCTCCGATAATAGGATGATGGCGGCAAGGCCGATGGCGACGCCGACGCTGGTGACGATGATAACGATGATGTCTCCATGTGTCGGTGATGGGTGTGATTTCTTGATGATGGCAGCAATGGTAGCGCTTGACGATGACGATGACGGCGGTGATTCTGATTCTGGCGCTGATGAGGGTGATGATGAAGAAGTTTGCGCGCACGAAGACATGTAATACTTTGGAGACCTTCATTGGACGACTTGCTTTTCTCCCTATTTTATGTAAAGCTTACGAGCTATGATACAGCATGATCGATTGCCGTAGCATACCTTTCTGGTTCAAGTCTGTTTCTCATTATCGCGTGGCCCCTCCAGCTCGCCGTGTCCACTGTTTCAAAACTCGGCATGCTCTGGGCAACGGGCTCTCGGCAGTGACCGCGTTGCCTCGACTGCTCGGTGATTTGTCTTTCGGTGACCTGTTCGACCCCCTCCGTCAGCATCGCCTGCCCGACTTTCGGGTGCCCGAACTCGAGTCCCGTTTCGTGTGCGGGGGTTTTCGTGGTTGGCTGGTGTTGCGGGATTCATCTTTGGTGCTATTGCAGTGCTGCTGGTATGGGTGACTGCCGAGTTTTCCCGCCGCCTGTTGTCCCCTGTGCGGCATTCGGTATCGAACTCGTTTCTCCTTTCCCAGTTGAGGATAAGAAGCAGTCTGACGAGACGCGGGAGTCGCATTGAAGTATTTGGGGGTCACGTGTCAACGACATGGCGGATCCATGTGAAGTAGCCTTTGTCAGATATGATTTGCCAAGCCCGAAGTTTGACACGAACGGCTCAGTCTAGAAGAGGTGGCCGTGGCGGGCGTGGCGGGACACTTCTCTGTGCCCACGCTTGATGATGACATATTCTTGGAAATCTTCGGGCGGACAGCGGCGGCATTGTCCAGTTCCGAGGGTCTCCCGGGCTTGTTCGAGCGCCTCTAAGCTTGGTCGCCGCCAACATGTACCAGTTCAGGGTAATGCCGTCGGCTGCTGAAATGTCCCGACATGTGCGAGATGGTACTCTACAGGTCGGCGTCGCCATCCTTGTTGCTCCATCCCGAGGGTTGCTGGTCAGCAGGTCGGCCAGGCATCTGCCCCGCCGCTATTGGGCGCGACGCCGGTGGCGCCGCTGCCTGGGTACCAGCTCGTCCCAGCCACGGTGGCCCAGCTGTGGTGGCAGCGGCAGCAGCGGCATGGCCTGGCCCGGCACGAGGGGCTGCGGTGCAGGTGGCAAGTGGAAGGTGACAGCGATTGACCGACTCGTGTGACAGGAAGTTCAGCTTCCCCGATTCGGTGACGGCGATTGACCGACGCCGCTTCGTAGATGCGTAGGTTTGAACGGCACGAGCCCTAATCACCATCATGTGCGCTGGATCTGGGCTGCCCGTGTAGCTTGGGGAGATCGGTCGGTGTATGAGCATCAGGTCCTGTGCCGAATCTCGGACGCAGCAGTCACCGATGACCAGCTGGAACTGCCGTCTACTAAATGAGCGAAGCTCGTTGTTCGCAAGATGGATCTGGTGAAAAACGCGCGGGACCACGACATCGAACCCGTATTATTCATCGGTCGGCTTGTTCACGTCGTGGGGTGGGGTTCGCAGGCGGCGGGTGGAGGTACCAATCCAGCCTCGGCCCGCGTTGACAATCATATGAAAATCCAGGCGGCGATCGCAAGGGAGGGCAGAGAAGCCCGCGCGGAGCAGGGGCCGTGGACGCGGCAGAGGACGCGGACGTGGGCGAGGCTGCCAGGGGCCCCGGGGGCGAGCAGCTTCCCCGTCCTAGTGAGATTGGTCGATTCCCACGAGGTGCAGCAGGCCGAGGAGGCGCGCCTCGTGCTAGTCAATTCCGTCAGCCAGCATCTCGCCCTCCCCAGGACTTCGGAGCAACCCGTGGGCATCGTTTTGGACAGGACGCCAGGTTGACAGGCCGCGCGATCTGTTTCCCCGTCCGCCTTCGAGTGCAATGGACAATTTGCCCAGCCATGCTTGGGCTCTGATGAGGCCCTCCGCATGCGACAGCGTCAGGCCCGCGAGCCCACCGGCACGTTTGATGCGTTACACGAGTTTTGCGGCGTCGCCTCCGCGGGCGTCCTTCCCGGCCTCGCCCAGTCGAAAGCCCGTCAGCAGGTGCCGTCATTTTCTTTTCAGTGCCTGGCAGATGTGAGAACGCACATTTGCCGCGTGGCGCGTTTCGTGAGGTCACGCGGACTGACCCGTCTTATTCTTCAGGAAGGGCGGCGCCTTGTTTGAGGGAATTTTTATGGAATTCACGTCATCCAGACCCCTGGCGCGCGAGGAAGTTGCCTCCCAGCGCGCTTCCAGGGACCATTTCCGGTGATGCGCCCGATGCGCTGGGCGCGCCGGGCGCGCTGGGCGTGTCCCGATCTCGCCTTCGCTCGAGACATCCTCGCAGAATCGCCCCGCGGGCACCCAGCGAACCCCTGGGGTCCATTCGTGCGCTGGACGCTCCGGGAGTGTTCCCATCAGGCGCCCTCGCTCGAGACGTTCCTACAAAATCGCCCCACGGGCCCACGGCGCACCCCCAGAGGCCATTTCCGGCGATGCGCCGGGCGCGCTGGGCGCGCCGGGCGTAATCCGATCTGGCGCCCTCTCCGGAGACATCTTTGCAACGTCCCCTCGCAGGCCCCCGTGGCCCCAAGGGCCATTTCCGGCGATGCGCCAGGCTCGCAAGGCGTGCTGGGCGCGTTCCGATATGGCGCTCAAACATCCTAGAGAAATCGCCCGCCCTGCGGGCCAGGAACCATTTCCGGCGATTTGCCAAAGGCGTCGGGCGCGTTGGGCGAGTTCCGATCTGGCGCCCTCGCTCGCGACATCCTCGCAAACTCGCCCCACGGGCCCCTGGCGCACCCGCGTGAACAATTTCCGGCGATGCGCCAGGCGCGCGGGGCGTGTCCCCATCGGGCGCCCTCGCTCGAGATCTCCTTGCAAAATCGCCCCACGGGCACCTGGCGCATTTTAGTTCATGAAACCTTTCTGGCGATGCGCTGGGCGCGCCAGGCACGCCCCCGCGGCGCCCTCGCTTGAGACATGCTCGCAAATTCGCCTCGCGGGCCCCCAGGCGCACCCCTGGGAACTATTTCCAGCCGTGCGCCGGGCGCGTCGAGCGCGCGGCCGCGTCCCGATATTGCGCGCTCGCTCGAGACATCCTTCCGCAATCGCCCCGCGGGCCCCCGGCGCGCCCCCGTGGGCCATTTCCTGCGATGCGTCGGGCGCGTCTTGCGCGCTGGGCGCGCCGGGCGAGGGCGAGGACGAAATGAATGCGAGGACTAGCGCGAGGGCGAACGCGGGGAGGACAAGGACGAGCAGGGAGGAAGACGCAAGAGCACGGAGGAGGGGGGGGGGCGGGAGGAGAGAGGAGAAGGAGGAGGAGAGAGCGAGAACGTGGAGGCGGAGATGGAGGTGGCGGGGGAGGGGGGGGGGGAGAGGGGGGAGGAGGACGGGCGACCTCTAGGGACTTCCAGCTCGTGAGCCTCGCACTCGCCGTCCTGGTTTTCACCCGCCGCGCCACCGTCGCCCGCTCATTCTCACCGTCGTCGCCGGGCGCAGGCACGCGCCTCTTCTATATGCAGAAACTCCCGATCAACCGCGGAGCGGCCGGCTTCCAGAGACGCTGGCCAGCGAGGCGGCGCAGAGCCGCGCTGCCCTAAGTTTGGCAAGGCACCCCTAGGGGCCAATCCCCAGTCATGCATGCCCTGCCCCATCGGATGCGGCTCGAGCTCTTCATTGGCGAAGTGAGCTTTCAGATGCACGCGCCAGGCTCGGCGTCGCGGCGCGCGCCTGGGTCGCGAAAGATGGCAATTGGGCTGGCGTCCGATTTTCCAGGAATCGCAGACACTTGGTCGAATCTTAGTATTGGCACTGCTGTCGCCTCTTTCGTTTCTCTACCCTGCCAGACCTGGCCCTGGGCTCGAGAAGTCGACGGGCGGGGGCGTGGGCCCGCGAGAAATGGCGGTTCTTCGCCTGATATGGCTGACCACGAGTCCTGTCGGATAGCAGACCCTGGATTGTTATAGCTTGCGCATCGCACGTCCGGTTGCTAGCCTTGGACCCCCCGGGATCCCGTTCTCCTCTAGGGTCTGGCTTGCCAATTGAATGAAGTGCCGCGTCGGGGAGTTTGGCGCTGGATTATGACCTGCTCATGTCTGCAGCGTGGGGCCCAGTGGAAAATGGCAGCAGGTTGTTCTTGATTCGCATCATTCAGGATTTTGAGTTATTCTCGGGGGCCGTCTGGAGATGCTCTGCCGCAGGCCACGGGCGCGTGCAATTATCTGGTGAACAATTTCGGACTAGACGGGCTCGGGCCTAGCCCGCGACTCCTTGATTTTTTTGCAGCCGCCGCCCTGCCGCCTCGCCCGAGCGAGCAATGCGCGTCCGAGATTTATCCGCGCCATAGTTTAACAGTCAAGACGCTCCGTGAAGCGCAAGGGCTTGTTGGCGTGGGTTTCAGTGCGTATTAGTTTTGTCTTAATTTAAGCAATTTACGGTCGAAGTGCGTTGGTCAGCCCGAGGGTTTTCCTGGCGCCGGGCTCCGTGGCGTTGCGCGCGGTGTTGCGCGGCAAGTGCTGCTGTGCATTTCAGACTTTGCCCATGCGCGTCCCGGCTTTGTTGGGCGCGGGACCATTTCAAAGTTCACGAGCTATGAAAAAGCAGGCATGGGAACCGTAACGTGATGTTAGGGCTGAAGCCCCCGCCCTGTCACCGCTTCCAACCCTTGTCTGCGCAGGGGCAGTTTTGGCATTTGTAAAGAATGTTCTTGCAGTGTTGTCGCTGAAGCGGGAACAGATTTCTCCGCCTTGGGTTTTTTCCGGTGCGTCCTCGTTCTTTGTTAATTCTCGATCCCGCCCAGCTGTTGCCGCGTCTCGCTGAGGTGTGTTGGTTAGCCCGCGTGCTTGCCTGTCGTCGAGCTCCGTGATGCTGTGCGCGATGCTGCCTGACAATGTTGTTTTTGCCCATGTCAGACTTCGCCCATGCGCGTCCAGTCGTGGTTGGCGGCGGGATCTCTGCCGCGACGCTTTCGTCGACGCGCTCGTGTCGGCGTTGGCGCGTGGCCGGCGTGGGGATGCGTGATGCGAAGTTGTGCGTTACGCGCATGTTGTGCCAGGGCGTTTACGCCGCTTGGTGAGATAACAATGCAGCTTCTGGGCGATATTTGTGATCTCCGCTGCTGCTCCAATGATTTCAGCAAGTGCGCGCGGGCAGAACATCGGCAATTGTTCCCCAATGAGGCTTGTCTACGGGGTCTCTTACTTAGTCAAAAGTTGATGCCTTGTATTCTTGCGTGGCATGGTTCACCAGGTTCCCTGGATTCCTCGGATTTCTCGGGTTCTTCGGGTTCTTCGGGTTCTTCTGGTTTTTCGGTTTCCTCGGGTTCCCCGGGTTCTTCGGGTTCACTGGGCCCGGTTGCCCCGAGCAGTGCCGAGCAATGCCGCGCAATGCCACGCAATGCCAAGCAAGTGCTTGTTTCTTATTTATTGTTTTGCCGATCGGCGCGGGCCCTGGCACCCCCTTTCCCCCCCGCCCATGGGGTAGATCTTGGCTCTTGTTGGCGTCTGTTTCAAGCAGGTGGACTATCCCCAATAAGACGCGCTGTTGAAAACAGTCGCATTATGCAGAGGTCCGGAGCCAGACCCCCACTTTTGCTCAATGTCGACACGCCGAATATGAAAGCGTTTATCATCGCCGGGTCCTCGTGTTCACAGCCCCCAGTTGCCCAAAGCAGTGCCAAGCAATGCCGAGCAATGCCAACCCATGCCAAGCAATGCCAAGCATTGCCAACCCATGCCAAGCAATACCAAACAATGACAGGCAAAGTCGAGCAGCAATGCAACACAATGCCGAGCACCAGTGCCAAACAGTACCAAGCAATGCCAAGCAATGCCAAGCAATGCCAAGCAATGCCAAGCAATGCCAAGCAATGCCAAGCAATACCAAGCAGCGCCAAGCAATGCCAAGCAATGCCAAGCAGTGCCAAGCAATGCCAAACAATGCCAAGGAATGCCAAACAAGGCCAAGCACTGCGATATCAAGCTTGGGGGATCCAACATCTGCGCCCGACCGCTTTGGGGCCCTGAAGTGGGAGTTTTTGGGGCGCTATTGGGGGCACTCGGGGCTCCCCGTGGCACCCCGAGAACGCCCCATCAACCAACCATAGTGGCTTATGTCGGGCTTCGCAGACCTATCAGAAACGGCCGCGTAGGAAGGTCAAGCTCCGATTTTTTAGGTGCGCCAGATTTGGGTCTCTCGCGGGTCCTTTTTGGTGGGCTCCGTGGCCAGTTGGGACCGTCCTGGGGCTGCTCGTCTGTTACCAGGAAAGGGATCAACAGTTTCGGGGATATTTTCCTGACGCGACACCAAAGCCCGCAGAACAATTGGAAGACAAACGAATGCTGGTCGCACCAGCCACATGCGTTTTGTTGCGCCGCACGCGTGCGGTTGAGTCCAGCCTGTTCCATGCAAAATTCCAACTCAAGACCCACTGTGGGGGGACTCCCTTGCGTCATCCACTCTTGTGCCTTCATCATCCTAAGGAAAATGGGTGGGGCCTGGTTTGGGGCGTTTCGTTCGGGCCTCGGAATATGCTTGGTTTAGGCCCTTACTTCGGCCTGGTTTGGCCAGGCACCCCGCCTGAAACATCCTCAACGTTCGCGTGGGTTGGGCCTTGGTTTGGCCTGGTTTGGAATCGGTTTTTCTTGCGACGTCGTCCCAAGCCTGGATTGGTGTGGTTTCGGTTCGTTCCGCTTGAGATGTCCAACTCATTTGCCAGTTCTGGCTTGGTTTCGGTGCGGGTTCGCCGGAGGCCTCCTCGCAATTTCCTTTGTCTGGAATAGTTTCGTCGCGGATTCGCTTGGTACGTCCTCGCATCTTGACTGGTTCAGCGTGGTTTCGGCGCGGTTTCGCCTGAAACGTCATCGCGATTTCCTTGGTTTGGCCTGGTTTGGACCTGGTGTCGCTTGAAACGTCCTCACGATTTCCCTGGTTTGGGCGGTGTTTCGCGTGCGACGTCGCTGCGATTTGCCTGGCTTGGCCGAGGTTCTGCTCGAGACGTCCTCGCAAATTGTACGCGTTGTTAGGATTCGGGGTGAGCGCAGCGCTGCTCAGCAGAAAAAGTATGCAAGCTTTGCGGTGTACGTGTGCGTTGCAAAAAAATGTGGCGCAGACGCGACGGCCTATGCTATGCGGTGTCAACCACGTGGTGCAACGTATGTGGTTGAAGCTCTGTGGTGTAAGCGGTGTAAACTAT